CCCCCCCCCGCCCCGGGTGGGGAGACGGTGGGCTGCGGCCGGGTCCTGGCCCCCACCCCCCACCCCGCAGGAAGCGAGAGCGAGAGAGCCAGGGCGCCGGGCACGCGGGGCGCGGGGTGCAACCCCGGAGGGGCCCCCGGGCTGGAGAGACCAGAACAACAACAACAACAGCGGCAATAATGATAATAATAATAGGTGGAGGAGGGGCTGCTTAGCAGGCCGAGTTAGGTGAAGTTAGGGGTAGGGGTCTGTGTGTGTGTGTGTGTGTGTGTGTCTGTGTCTGTGTGTCTGTGTATGTGTGTGTGCCTGTGTGTGTCTGTGTATGTGTGTGTGCCTGTGTGTGTGTCTGTCTGTGTGTCTGTCTGTGTGTGTGTTAGGGTGCTTGTGACTAACCCATCCTTACGTGCACCTGCAGGTGTGTTGCACGCGGACGCCTGTAGGGAATCACAGGTTTTATCTCCTTGAAGATAAAGCACCCCTCTCCCCAGGAGCTCGGGCGTCCTGGCTCTAAGCCGCTCTGCACCTCCCGGATGTCACCTCTTCCTGGGAAACTTCTTTTTTTCTTTCCTCTGATGTGGTTTTCTTCTTTTTGAATATTGTGGTTCGGTTCCCGTGGACTCCCGCTTGGCCTTACTGACACATCACTGCCCTGCTTTCCTTACTTATTTCTGTATGTTCATGTTGGGGCCTCTGATGAAATCCAGAGCCATGGCCATTGTAAGTTGGTCACAGATGCCGCGGTCGGGGTCATTCCCAACCTGACTCGTTGGAAACTTCACTCAGGTCAGGTGTGCTGCCTGCTTATTAAGTACCTCCGGAGGTCTTCCTTTAACATGGTCACATTGATCGGGATTGTCTAGGTAGCAAGGACAGTACTTTTTGTGTTTGTGTGTGCGCGCACACATGTCCCAGTCCTGGGGCTTGAACTCGGGACCTGGACTCTGTCTCTGCTGTTTTGTTTCAGGTCAGTGCTCTACCATTTGAGCCAAACCGCCCCTTCTGGCTTTTTGGTGGTTCATTGGAGATACCGGTCTCATGGACTTTGCGCACTGCCCAGGCTGGCCTTGAACCAAGATCTTAATAGCTCAGCCTCCTGAATAGTGCTAGATTACAGATCTCAGCCACCAACAGCCAGTGAGAATCTGTTCCTTCCAATCCAGGACCTGAACTCTGGACCTGGGCACTTGCTGTTCTTAAGGCTCTTTGAGTTCAAGGCTAGCCCTCTACCATGTTGAAATTTGAATTATCACCTTTCCCCAAAGGATATTATATCTGCTATTAACGTTTTGCCAGTCAGCACATTTTTCCCCCCAGTTACATGAATGAAAATAGTTGATCATGAAAACAAACAATTAAAATCGTTGGAAGCTTACTTTGCTGTCTGAGGGCAGTCATACTAATTGTAACTTATTTATTTGTTTTGTTTTGTTTTTAGATTTGCCCACCGGTTGGGAAGAGGCGTACACTTTTGAAGGTGCAAGATACTATATCAAGTGAGTTTTTGTATTTTGATTTTTCTCCCCCCAGGTAATTCACATTCTGTGCTCAATCTTTGGTTGCTGGTTTGTCTAGAGTTGATCATGATGTTTTAAGCTTTGTTTTGTTTTTAATCATGTCATGTTGATTATATCCTGTAGTTTTGAAACTTTGGGAGCAGAAAAGAATGGTATTCTTGGTTTTCCTGTTATTTTTTTCCCACATATTAAGTGATTCATTGATTTGAAAATTAGATCATTTGTGGTTCGTGGTTAAAATTTTTTTTGGTGTTTTTTTTTTTCTGATTTATTCCTGTTGGTAGAGTATTGTAGTCATTTGTCTTTAGCTATTTGCTACTTACGAGTTTTGATGGTTGGCTGGTTATGCTAAGAGATCACACACACACACACACACACACACACGCACTCCTGTTACATTGCCATCGTTTTTGTTTTTTTAAAAGTGAATCCGGTTCTTGTATATTTTAACCAGATCTGTTAATAAGTAGTGAAATTAAGTAAAGCTAGGTAAATGACACAAAACAAACATGGGATAGAGGCGTGGCTCAGTGGTAGAGTACCTGCTGAGCAAGTCTGAATCTGAAACCCTGAGTTCAAAACCCCGGTAGTAGTGACTACTAGAGAGTCCAATGTACACTTGAACTGTAGATCATTGCTGCTCAATTCATCACGTTTTATTAGCAGGTTTATGTTTGCGTGAAAGACTTTCCAGTTGAGGTCCAAAAAAACAGGACTGTCAGTCCCAAACTTAAAACTAGTTTTCTAGAACACTGAACTAATTTTTATTCAACCTTAACTTGGGTTGAAGCTGAGTCTTGAAAGAGAATGTTTTCATACAACATATATATGGTGGGTGATTTGGGTATTTCATTAGCCACAACAGATAGTCTGGGTAAAGGTGGCTTTATTTCATTGGGCTTTGTGAGTTATTTTAGCCAAGCGACATTTTTAACATCATGCTACATTTCCACTAAATGGTAATTACACGTGTGGCTCTCAAAAGTGTTTTAGAAGGGTATTTATCTAAAATGTCGGGGTATTTACAGGCAATTGAAATGCTGAAAGTAGGCGCCAGCAACACAGGCTTGAGACAGGAATGGAGAAATTTCACACTGAAGACGGCTCGATTGTCCTTTTGTTGTTGTTACACTATTAATTGGGAGATCACGCTGTTGTCGGCGCCGCAGTGGCTGTTTTCAGCCTGCCAGAAAGCCTGTTTGGGTTGCTAGGGAAGGGAATGTTGTTTGCCCTTTTGGATAGTCCTGTGGGTACCATGAGAAAAGGCTGCTGTGTATATTTGGACTGCTGGATGGAAAGGGCTGGTAAGTCTAGATGATTCCTCAAGGTTAATGGTAAGCCTGGACCCGTGGCTCACACCTATCATCCTAGCTACTCCGGAGGCTGAGAGCTGAGGATCAGGATTTGAGGCCAGGCTGGGCAGAAATAGTCTGCTCTTCAATTCACTTCAAAGAAGTGGAGCTGTGGCTCAAGCGATAGAGTGCTACTCTTGAACACAAAAGCTTAAGGACAGTGCCCTTGCCCTGAGTTCAAACCCCAGTACTGACACACACACACACACACACACACACACAGAGGTGGTACTTTAATTCTCAATGCTACTTTAATTTCCATGATAATGTAAATCCCCTGGGCACTTCTTTGTTGCTGGCACAAAATGTCTTTTGGTCCAGGCTGAATGGCTGTGTTTTAATTGAATGTTGTTGCGGTTTAATTGAATTTTGTTGTTTGTTTCACTGACCATTTCGATGAGATTTTTCTCTTGTTTTGACTTGAACTCCAGCTGTATTTGAGTGCTATCCCTAAGAAACCCATCTCGGGAAAATGAGGACATTAAGAAAGTTGTCATTATACTTTAAAGATATCCTTAGTGGGGCACCGGTGGCTCACGCGGGTCATCCTAGCTACTCAGGAGGCTGAGAGCTGAGGATGGAGGTTCAAAGCCAGCCCGGGCAACAATGAACCACCAAAACACCAGAAAACTGCGCTGTGGCCAACGTGGAAGAGCACTAGCCTTGGGCGAAAAAGCTCAGGTACCAGTGCCTAGGCCCTGAGTTCAAGGCCCATGACCAACAGAAAAAGAAAGAAAAAGAACAAAATAGATACCCTTAGTGGGTTTTAATCATGTGGTATAAATAGCTAATAATGAAACTGGCCTTTAAAACCCCAGGGCCCAGACTCCCAAGAGTATGACATATCAGAACCAGTTACCCACCTCTACGCCTCAGAGACATGGAGAAAAGCCCGGGCTGCTATGGGCAGATGACATTTATACAGTCTGCCATCTTCTGGGTACAGCCTTTAGGATGAGAGGAAGCATGGGGGGGGCGGGCAGGAAGTGAACTGTGAGCACAGGTGTGGTCCCAGGTGGTCTGACCTTTGTTTGAGAATTGGTGGGGCGGGGCCTAGTTACAATCAAAGCCCTTGATGCTTGTTGGCCTGTGGTCTTATCTTCCTGGATTCCAAGATGGCAGTTGGGTGGCTGCCGGAGAGAAAGGGCGAGGAACAGAAATGCAGGGGGCCTGATTGCTTCCTGCCACAGCTGACTCACCATCCACATCAGGGGGTCAGCACTCCCCGGGAAAGAAATAATAAACTGACCCCATAGCATGCTCGCCTAGCATGCGTGAGGCCCTGGGTTCGATTCCTCACTACCACATCCCCAGAAAAAGGCCAGACGTGGAGGTGTGTGGTACAAGGGGTATAGCCTGGAGCAACAGAAGCTCCAGGGACAGCGCCCAGGCCCTGAGTTCAAGCCCCAGGACAGGCAAAATAATAACTTTGGCTCCACCAACTCACCATTGACAAGGCTGGGGTTTGCTGGATAGCAGGTGTTACTACTTAGTCCTTCTGTGAGTTACCAGAAAGTCTCCTTTCCTTCCAGATTGCTGAAATCCCTTAATAAGAATGTAATATCTTAGAAACCTGGCCCTTCCACCGTGAGGAGCAATTGGAGATGCTTTATTGTTCTAATATAAGGTTATATTCTTCTTGTCTTAAACCGGAGTGTCCAGGATGGCGGAAGTCATCTGGAGAGCTATTGTCTTCCTGTGTTTCCCCAGCAAATTAAAAAAAGACTACTACACGCAAAACAGGCCTGTGGAATTTATAGAACGTATCTTCTAGAGGAGACAGCCCAGTGAGAAAGAGCAGGAGCAGGAGCTATATTTAGAATATTCCCAGTAGAAGAAAAAGAGCGGCCTGAAGAAGGGAAATGGTGAATGTTAGTGGGTATTGTTCAGTTGTTTCTTGGATGCAGGAGATCATTGGACAGATGATAAGAAAAGGAAGTGATGGGCATCAGCCGCATAGACTTCCTTCCCATGGGAAGAAGGAGAGAAAATAGAAAAGCCAGGCACTGGTAGTGCATGCCTGTAATCCCAGCTACTCAGGAGGCTGAGATCTGAGGATCGCAGTTTGAAGCCAGCCTGGGTAGGGAAAATCCTTGAGACTCTTAACCTCCAGTTCACACCAGAAAGCCAAACATGGAGCTGTGGCTTAAGTGGTAGAGAGCTAACATTGAGCATCTTCCTAGCTACTCAGGAGGCTGAGATCTGAGGATCGAGGTTCAAAGCCCACCGCAGCAGAAAAGTCCCCGTGAGACTCTTCTCTCCAATGAACCACTCAAAAACCGGAAGTGGCGCTGTGGCTCAAAATGGTTAGAGCGCTCGCCTTGAGCACAAAGTGCTCAGGGACAGCGCCCAGGCCCTGAGTTCAAGTCCTACAATGGACAAAAATAGAAAAAAAAGACAACAGAGCCCTTCTCTGCTCTGAATCGGTTGCTGTCAGAGCTGGTTTCTGCGTTGCCTTTCAAGAGGGCAGTACCCTGAATTCTAACTAAACGCTCCTCTTGGGGGTGGCGGGGGGGGGGGG